TTATTCTCATGAATGCGAGTCAAACACAGTATAAAATATGTGGTAATAATAGTCAAGAATATTCTGTTGATAAGAATTATTGCAAAGAAAAATATGTTGAGAATTGTGACCAAAAGTATTATTCATTTGAATTTAAGGACAATATATATTCGGCACAAAATGACAGCAAAATAAAAATTGTGGCTAAATTAGGGCATGAATTTCATTATAAGGCAGAAATCAAGTATTCATTTACAGATTATATGTCAAATATTGGAGGATTTATTGGTTTGTGGATTGGGCTGTCATTTATAGATACCAGTGCTCTCATTAAAATCATATTAAAATACTTTAAATTAATTATTAAATTATTAATTAAACAGACAATAATAATAAAACTTAAGAAACTTGTGCTAAAAATGAATAAAATAATTAAAAAGCTTTCAAATTATAAATGGAAAGAAATATTGATATTACTCTCATTTCCTGTGATTTGTATTCAGATTTATAGTCTCATTGAAACCTATTTGCTATTCTCTACACAAACCACAATCGAAATGATTGAATATAAATCAAGATTTAATAATAAAATATCGATGCAATCAATACCTGCCATCACTTTATGCTATGAAAAAACATTTGAAAGCATTTTATTTGATCCCTATATTAGACAGTATTATATAAAAGAAATTTTTAATAATACAATGACATTAAGGACATCAATAGATATACCTCTGAATGATGTGAATACTAAAGACAATTACATAAGAGATTTAATAAAATATTACATTTCTAATAAAATTCACCAGTATGCCATTATTAAAAGGATTAAAAAAATAAATCCGTTAAATAAAAATTACATAGACCATTTACTAAATATTTCTGAAGTAAAGAAATACAAAAGTTTTATTCTCAATTACCTTGATGTGAATACCAAACAAGAATATAATGATAAACGAGAACTCAACGATGATATTGTGAATACTACACAAAACGATCTGGATGTTTATTCAAATCTTATAAGTTGTGCTGTGGATATGAATTATAAATGTAATGAATTGAGTCCAACAATCAATATATTGTCACCATTTGGCAAATGTCATACATTTTTGTCAGCTTTTAAACATAATAAAACAGATTCTGAATTTAAAAATAGTATTAATCTAAATGAAATTTTTAATTATGATCATATAGTTAATAAAATTAGTTATTTAAAGCAAAAGTTTATAATTCATTCACAAAATTCATTTCCATTAACAACTGATAATGTAATTGAATTCAAAGATAACCCAAATAATAAGGTAAAAGTGGTTCATATAATAAGATATGAATTCAAACGACTGCCCAAACCATACGACACGCAATGCTATGAATATTCTGCAAATGAAACACAATTTCATTGTTTGAATGAATGCTATCGAAAGGCATATGAGAAGCGATTTCATTGTATTCCCAAATATAATAGTTTACTAACCATTCAGTTGTTTGATGACTATATTGTACCAAATATCACATTTTGTTCGGATTATTCTAGTAACATAAATGATGACAATGATTTGAATACACAAATTAACAAAATTTGCTTAAATATATGTCCAGTGTCGTGTATAGAAAACAAGTATTTACATGAATTACATGTCAGATCCAGAGAAATGGTGCTTTATCAACAAAATCAATTCAAACTCAATAAAAACTTTTATATATTTATTAAATATATCCCAAAACAGACAATTATAGAACTGGTCATAAGTATAGCTAATATATTAAGTCTATGGCATGGCATCAGTTTTATTGGTTTAATATTGACTTTCTATAAAATAATTGAACGAAAATCAAGAATTCAATGTATTATTAATATTATTGTAATTTACAAACGATTTATTAGTAAAAAATATTTAAAATTATTTCATCCTAACTATATAAAGGTCAGTAAACATAAATATTTTAAAGTTAAACTGATTAGAGTTTCATATTTGATATAAATAAAAAATTAAAATAAATGATAAGTTATAATATACATGAAAAATTTTAAATTAAATGATAATGATTTATTTATATATATATTTATTATATATATTGATTTATTTATATATTTCTAGTACATATTGACATCACTACTTACAGCAATACTATTACTCCAATTATACGACATATCAATGCATTACTTGAAATTTGAAACGGTTACAAGAATTGATTTTAAAACTTATAAATCAGATAATAATTATCCATTTGTGACAATAGTTCGTCGGAATAATAATAAATTTTATGGTATCTATAAATATTTGAATAATTGTCATCCAAAAAGAAACCATGAATGCCATTTCAATGCTACAAATAAAATGCTATTTAATAAAACACAAAATAATTTTCATTTTGTCTATTGTTTTATAAATACTGATAATTATATTAAAACGTTTGACAACTACTATTTAAGACATGGCAAACATTATCAAATGAGAACTTATTATTTAAATCAGTCACTATTGAATAGAAACACTAATAATCCTAATCATGTTCTAAGTATATATCAAATAAACCAGCACAAATTTATTCTAAATATGTTATTTCATTGGGACCCATATCCAGACATTAACGAATTACTTGATGACTCAAATCAATTTATTGGTTACAATCATACCATTATATTAAGCAAATCATTGAAATGGTATTTATCGAGACCTCACGGCAACTGTAGTTACTATAGTACTAGTGATCAACCATTTAATGCCTTTTCTCAGACCCATTGTATGCGACGGTGTCAGAGATATTACATAAAAATGGTTCAAAAGTGTGATCCAGTGTTTGTTAATTACTATTTGCATGAATTGGATGTTCAGAGCAATCGTACAGAAAATTATTGTTATTATTCACATAATCATCCAAAACACTTACACAATGTTTATAATATTAACACTAAATGTTTAAACTATTGTCCAAAAGATTGTCAAATAGTTGAATACAATTGGAAAACCATATCAAGTGATACACAGATTGGTAATGAATTTTGGTATAACTTAACGGAATATAACAGGACTACGGAAAAGGCATTGGTTTGGGAGTCAACACATCCTATGGTTGTCTATCGGGAGGAACTGGTCATGTCTTTCACCGACTATATGTCATATACTGGAGGACTGTTTGGCCTATGGTTTGGCATTAATGGTAAAGACTTCATGATTTGGGTGATAGAGTCCATTGGATTCATGTGGGTTTGGTTTCGTATGAAATACAATGATCACTGTTCACGACAAGTATTACATATTAATAGGTTTTAACTGATTCTGCAAATTATTGAAATTATATTTATATTAATTATATGAAATTCAATAAGTAGTATAAGAATTATAAATTATATGTGTCAACCTAAAACCATGTAAAGGGTTTTCCTAAATAGCGTTTACTGTATCTAAAATTAACGGCAATTACTAATATTAAGAATTTCAATGAAATGATTGTGCATATTCATTATAAAAGTTTGATACAAGTTTAATAAAAATTTTAGATACAGTAAACGTTATTTAAGAAAAACCTTTACATAGTTTTAGGCTTGCACATTTCTATTTTTAATAACGATTAAATTATGACTAATAAACCACTCTAAATATTCGTAATGATTATTGGGTTTTATTTATTTATAGTAATTGTAGTTTTTTTTACAAAATATTGATATTCAAAAATATAAAGTAATAATCATTAATCTATTTTTTGAATTGAAATTAAATTTTGTAAATTAATACCTTCAATAAAAACTTTATACAATTAAAATGAAATAAATATTTTAATATGAAACTATTCAGGACATTTATCATTAATATAACCTTGATGATGATCCTCCAACACAAGTGCCGCCCCTTCTCCCCGGCCAGTATTGCGGCCGCATTAGTATTGGCGTTAATAACCGTCGGATATACTAATGAGTCAATTACTCACAATTTACGGACGCCTTTCACTCTCAACCTCTGGTCCACCATCACATCATCCCTGTCCACACCACCCATACGACAGGTGCCCACTGGATGTAAGAAACTTGTAGCTATTTGTTGTATTAAACATTTGTGGTACGACCAGCACTTCCACACCGGTATGTCTGGACAGTACTGACAGCCGGGTATTGGTTCGGAGTTTACATACACGTGCTCTGAAACGGAGGTCTCCTCGACCACATAAAAAGCGTAGGAAATGGCGTCCAAAAAGGCCTGCCTATCGTCCGGGTTTCTCAACAAGTTTTGCTGCATTATGGGGTATGCCATCGGGTCACGTGATTTTAGTCTAATATAACCTGTGCTTTTAGGTCTGATTAGTACCGGTGCCACTACCAGGTTGGCATTCATTATAACGGTATTCATATAAAAGACGCCATTCCTCCGGACGTTTGTCCAAATAAAATATATTTTCATATCCCAGTCCATAAGCAGGAACAGTACCAACATGCAAATTAATGTCCGGGTAAGTCCAGTCCGAGTTTACACTGGAGTTAAAATTTAAACAAGATAACGGCGCGGTTGCGAGTGGGCCGGTATGGCTCAATATGGAGTCATATAATTGCTGGACATTAGGCTGAGGTCCAGGTGATACTAGACTACTGTATCTAACAGGCATTGATATGATTAGTATTACGTGGTTTTGTAGGTTATCACCGACGGGTAGGTCAGACCAAATTGGCGATATCTCCNTTAGGCTGAGGTCCAGGTGATACTAGACTACTGTATCTAACAGGCATTGATATGATTAGTATTACGTGGTTTTGTAGGTTATCACCGACGGGTAGGTCAGACCAAATTGGCGATATCTCCAATTTTTCTAAATGATCCCGGTGCCCAATGCCTGACAGCATTAAAATGTGCGGAGAATTAAAGGGACCTATATTTCACATAAATAATTTTAGTAATAATTTTTATACGATATTTATTTCACAATAACTGTACCTGCTGATAAAATAGTCTCTTTAGTTGACTGAACACTATATTCTCGGTTCCCTTTTGTGAACTCCACTCCGACTGCTTTTGGTTGATCACCATATGGCTGACCGTCGATAAGCACTTTAGTGACAAATGCCCTTGTTAATATATTAAGTTGAGGGCATATACTAGACTCCAAGTATGACTTGGCAGTGGACTGTCTCAGTCCATCCCTAATAGTCGACTGCATAATACTCGTGCCGTACTGTCGGCCCATTTGCGTCAATTATAGGGTATCCCAACTCATGCAGTGATTGCTGCCATTGTAATAGTAATGGATGAAGATTTACAGGTGTAGAAACACCTACTGGTGGACTGTGACCGTGATATATGGGATCGACATTAGGATCGGTATTATTCTCCGATTTCTTGAAATACGGCAACAATTGTTCAAAACTCCAACCGTTGGCTAAGAAATGACGAGCAATACTATCGTAATACTTACGGTTCCCTCTGTTGTATATCATGTTATTAACGGTAGATCCGCCGCCCAATACCTTTCCCCTAAATTCAGAGGTCTGTCCATTAATGAACGCCTGACCCAACTCTGGCTGTAATTCATTAGAATATATCCAAAAAAATTTTGAATCTAAGAGCGATTGAAAAACTAGTCCGGGAGTGTCAGTGAGCACAGCGTCCTGACCCCCACCCGCCTCCAGAAGTAAAACACTGTATCCTTCGTGTGACAGACGACAGGCCACTATAGCACCGGCACTACCGGCGCCCACAACCACGAAGTCATAGGTATTGTTAACCAGTATTTGGTTCGCAAACGAGTCGTGAATCTCTTGTCTCTGCAATAGTATTGAGAAAACTGTTATCCATTGCAGGGATA